CAGCGACTGCAGCGACCGAATACGCTCTGGGTCGTGGTGAACTCCACTACCGTTAATCATTTTGCCGCACCATCGGACCTCTCGTTCAACCAAACATGACTTCTTTGCACTCAACTTAAATCCAAAGTAATCCAGCAACTCGAAAAGTCTTTCCAATTTAACCAAATAAGTCGCTGCATCATTCGCGAACAATAACAAATCGTCGATCCACACTAATAAATGCTTGTGCAATAGTTCCTCCAAACACTTCTGGATCGTTGATTGAAAGAATAGTGCTGCGTCTGTACATCCTTGAGGAACGCGGCGCGGTGTGTACACTTTCCGATGAGTCATGTACGACAACCACTCTTGACATTCTTCTGCTAATGCCAGTTGCCAGTACCCCTTAATGAAATCAAAGAGACCGAAAAATTGAGCTCCTTTCACAGCCTCTAAATCAACGCTCAAGTCTGGCATAACTCCCACAGTTGCCTCCACATCTGCAATAAAAGGTTTATAGTCTGCTGTTTGGCGAAACTCGCCACCACGTTTGCGTACTGGAAGGACGGGGCACGCCCACCGACGCTCCGTGTTCTCATAAACCCAACCCAATCGAACCAATTCATCTTTAAATTCGTCCAAAAACTTCCACACTTCAGCCGGATACTTCCGTGCTTTACACCGGTAAGGTTTGGCACCAGGCTTTAGACGAATCCGCATAGGTGGTACCCGCGCTGGTGGATCGTCGCCCAACCTCATCCGCCAAATATCAAATCGTGTAGTGATCCTTCGAAGTGCTGGTACCAACTCTGCCGGAAAACCGTTCGCTACTGCCTTGGTAATTAACGCTTCCACTGCATTCCGTTGTTCATCACTTAAATTCACACTACTTCCGATTTGAGGCTCATCAATATCATCAAATATATCATCTTCTCCATTCTGCACAGCATTGGCCACGAACATATCAAGCTGTCGCTGAACATCAATACCCAACATCGTCAACACATCGTTGCCCAGCAGAAATTCAGCCGCATCACCAGGAATAATCAAACACTCAACTGGTTTGGAGATCCGAACACTTCCTGCTGATGTACGTAGGCGAAGCTGCAAGTTCACTACCATATTCACTTCAATAAGTTGTCCATCAGCACCAGTACAAGTGAGTGGATCCTCCAACCTCACCGCTTTAACCTCTGGACACACCTTCACAAATCGTTCATACTCGGTTTTGCTCATGCCAGACCTGTCGGCACCACTGTCGGCACAAAAAGACGTTGTAAACACATCTTCCAACACGTTTTAGCGAATCTGTGTCGGCAGGCATTCGGCTAGTCGACGTAGATTAGCGGTGCCTCCCCGCAGGGGTCTTAACACCTTTCTCGCTCTGCTTCGCCTCAAGCAGGTCACGATCTTCTTTTGTCGCGGTCGGGCAACGGCTAAGATAATGGGGTCCACCACAATGAAAACAACCGGTCTGCGGGGCGCCTTTCTTGGTGCAAAAGTCTTTCTTATCGGCCTTTCGTCCATTTTCTGCGTCAATGAGACCTTGACACGCTTTACGGACTGCTGCTGTAGCCCACTGATCGATCGTTTGTTCTGGAAGGCTCGTTGCTGGTGATCCTTTGCTTTACCACGAGTTTTTTTCTTTCAGTCGGTTCAAAGCACGCTCTTCTATCGCCTGCTCAAGCGCTTGCTGGTGGATAAGTTTAAACAGCTTCGTAATACTCGTCTGAGCCTCAGGAAAACTGTAATCAATTTCGTTCTTGACCTTCGCCTTTAATACTGGAGGCAATGAGTTGATCAGCAACCTGCATTTTTTCTTAGGACCTTTCTCACCTTGAAAGAATGTGACGAATCCATATTTCTTGATAAGAGAATTGCGCAAGAGAAAATAACTGGTCACATGTGAGCCAATATCATCATTCTTTATATCCATCTTCAATCCTTCGCGAACAACTCGTTGACAGGAGGCAGTACTTGGTTCTGGTAGCTGTCGGTGATAGTGTGTATCTTCTCTAAAAGGAAACTATCCGTCAAGCTGCCGATATCCACACCCCAATTCGCCTCGCACAGAGTTTCCAGTAAGTCTTCATCGAATGAGGTTCGTACGCTCTTCATAATCGCATTGATGTCTTCTTTTCCATCCTTGCAACGTTCCTTGACCGCGTCTTCGTACTCCTTACGAAGTTTCAACCACTCGACAAGATCGTTCCGCGCCACAGATGTCACCTTGGGTGCTGTCATTATCGAGAAGATCGGTTGCGGTAGTCGAGATACACTCGGCTTACTCAATGACTCCGTCGATCGCGTCTCCTCCGTTAGCAAGGTGTTCTGTGTCCTGTTACCTTCGCTTGCGTGGTCATTGTTATTGTCGCTGGTCGAGGACACAATGTTCTTGGTCAGTCAGTTGTTCCTAGTCGCAAGACTTGACAACTAAAGAATTCTTTGTAGTAGGTCTCGACGGAAAACTACTAGGGAAGCTGGCGCTTCCTGCGAACCCAATGTCTATTGTGAGTCCTCACTGGTAAGTCTGAAAGTGAACTACTAGCTAGCACTGCCTGCTAGAACGTCTAGTCATTTCCTAACTGCTATCCTGTGTTGCCAGCTCGGCATCGCAGACTTGCGATGCTCAGTGAGTGGGAAGAGGCTTGATTCCAGAAACCACCACT